GTAGCCACGATTTGGCTCTTATTTGGACAGACTACGTGTGGTCTCCTTCATTCAAATCTTGTTCATTAAAATGAACTAATCTTTTTTTGAGTCATTTTGTTCATTTGAACTAGGCTGGTTATTGCGGCGCTGCAGCCCTCTAGTGGGCGATTAAAAAACAGCGCTGTTCTCAAACACAGAAGGCTGCCTGGCTTGCTTTATTTGACAAAGTATAATGCACAAATTCACCTCTTGATAACTGTATATCATCATTATATAAACCCCCTTGGGTCCACATCCAAATTCAAACCATGTAAAAACCACAGAAATATGTTGTCTATATGTAATCAGCACTACTCCGGCTAAATCCTTCCATTGTCACAATCTTTCCCGAGTAGTATACAACCAGACCAGCCACATAAAGGCTTATAATTACTATCATTATCTCTAAAGTGCTCATTCATACAGCAGCCTAACGTCCCTATCCATGAGTAAAATATTAATATCAGATTTGTAGTAAATATATTGAAGTAATAAGCTTGATACACTATATGAATAAACACACTATTATTAAAATTCAACCAATTTAATAATAATCTGGATCAAGCCACCAAGTTCTTAAAGAACTCCAGCACAGAGAGAGGAACAGAGAAATAAACACATGTAAACGCAGCAGTTTGGCAGGTCTGGACGAAACGTTCTTTGAACGACGCAACACTAGCGAGCAACGGGCGAGAGTTTACTGCAAACACTGGAAGCGAAAAGACATTTACTTTGGTCTTGTAAGTATCTGTGTCTTTGTTTGACACGTCTTCATTGTTTATCTAAATTATTTGTTAACGTGTAGGAACCGTGACATTTCAGTGGGTAACAGTGTAGAGTAAGGCACGTCGTGGTTAGCTTAACATGCTGCATGCAAGTGTAACTTAACGTTACTGTAACGTTACTCCATGATACCCACAGGTTTCCTCGTGCCCTTAAAAACTCTTGAATTCAAAGGGGGTGAAACACATGCAACCTCACCTATTATAGTTTTGTAATGAAAGCCACACATATGTTTTACTCACTAACGTTAGATCATTATGATATGAAAATATGAGTTTTTGACTTTTGACACTAAATATTTATTGCAAATTCTCCAGCACACAGTCAGCAAAGTAACGTTACAACAATAAATATCTGAACAGAACACATTACATTCACAGCACATAACTTAGCTCTCTCAAAAGAATAAAAGCAGCTTTCCCAATTGTCTATATGGTTTTTGTGATGCAACATGAAGGCTAAAACATGTGTCCTGTTCAAGTATCTTTATATTTTCCATAGAGATAAATGGGTCAGTAATAAATAAAGGCTTTTAAATTAAAAAGAAAAAAAACGTAAATGAAAAGAAAGTTGTTTTTTTAGAATGATAATTAGAAACTTACTGTATGTTTTAATTTTAAATCATTTGTTGATAGTAGTCATGTCTTAAAAAACTAGTGAACATAGTCACTTATAATGTTTACTTATATTCATTTTACTACAAATCCAAAGTTATGGATCCCATTTACCCGAGAGACTGGCGCCACCCGAGAGACGCATCTGATGCTCTTGCTGCGTCAAGTAGCAGCTTAGATGAAGATCTAGATTTGGATGTAGTCAACCCATTTATTTTATCATTATTTGTATTTATAATAATATTTTATCAATAATTCCTTTATATTTTCATCATGTTGTATTATCTTAAGTTGTCTACGTTGTAATCCTTTTTCTTAATAAAATCCTTATATTTAATTTGTTTGTCAGTCGGCCCATTCTCCTCTGACCTCTAGCATCAACAAGGCATTTTCGGCCACAGGACTGCCGCATACTGGATGTTTTTCCCTTTTCACACCATTCTTTGTAAACCCTAGAAATGGTTGTGCGTGAAAATCACAGTAACTGAGCAGATTGTGAAATACTCAGACTGGCCCGTCTGGCACCAACAACCATGCCACGCTCAAAATTGCTTAAATCACCTTTCTTTCCCATTCTGACATTCAGTTTGGAGTTCAGGAGATTGTCTTGACCAGGACCACACCCCTAAATGCATTGAAGCAACTGCCATGAGATTGGTTGATTAGATAATTGCATTAAAGAGAAATTGAACAGGTGTTCCTAATAATCCTTTAGGTGAGTGTATATAATACATGTAATGTGTTAATTTTATTCTTATGTTAAATGTGATTGTTATTAAGCCATGTTTTATGTGTGGTGGTGGAGTCAATTTAAAGTTAGCTGCACTTAACCAGTAACAATTTTTTGATGTGTTGTATTTTTCTTTTATTGCCAGAAACCAAAGAAGAAAGACTGGCATCTTGTCAGAGGAGGGTAAAAAGAAGAAGAAGGAGAAGTAGGAAAGCAACACAGAAAATAAACCAAAAATAATAGAATATACCTTTTATATTTCCCCTTACACGCCTTGATGTTTATGTGTAAATACAGAGTGAGAATGAGAGAACAACACATAGCTCGTTGCTACTGTGTGATTAGAGTACAGGAGAACAGTGGATACTTTAATACAGCCCACACCCCTAATAATACTGTGTATCTACAGGATAACAAGTGGATCTCTGCTTACCTTATTAGTCTTGTGTAATGTGTGTAACTTAAAGAGTGAAAGTAAATGCTGTGCTCCTCTGTACCCCATTAAACATTTAGGATTAGCTACGTTTGATCCACCTTCATATTGAGCATATGTGACATTATTACATAACTGTAGCCTGTTACTTACTTAGAGACGGGATGTAGCTGTTCACAAATACTGTACAGTATGTAGCCTAAGGAACAATCCTAGTCTTATAGCAGACTAAGACCATTGAACTGGTCACCCTAGCCATCATCGCAACAATTGCCCCCCCTGAGAGATTTGGCAGGAGCTGCCACTGCTGACATGTTAGATTTGTTTCCAGTGAGATATTAGTGACTTTGCTGTTGTAAATCCTGTTGCTGATCTAGAAACAACATTTAGCTAAGATTAAATGTTAAATTATTATTTTTTAATAATATATGCAATTATTTAGTAATAAATAAGACTGATAAGAGCATCGATAAAGAACTGAACCAGTAAAGATTACCAATACAAGTGTGTCAATAAAATCCTAATGATCCCAACTCGTGAGAAAATATCCGGCCCATCTCTGTGTCCTGGTTTTAAAATCCGTCCCAATTGAATCTGTAATTGAACAGCCCTGGTGTGCAGTGATCATAGTAATATATCTTCCTTGTGACGAAATGTACATTAAACTGAATGCAGCTTTGTAGACAATATTTTGTCCTTGTAATCCATGTTTCCGTTGCATGGATAGCCTTTGGATATTGCTCTGAGTCCCGCTCCTTAAAGGGTAAATTATTATCATAATTTAATAATGCATTGCATTTAAACAGCACTTTTCATACACAAAAAGCGATAACAGTAGCCTACTGGTCCTACCAGGCTGGACATGCAGTCTGCCAAAATATGTATCCCCCTTTATAAAGCACAGATGATGGCCTACTTTCAAGTACTTAATTTTGTGTATACTTCACATCAGGACTAATAACAGGAGTAAATGTGGAGAAGTGTGTTGTTTCCTAGCAAACGTTATACTGAGATACAAAATACAAAGTGGGATCCAGAGAAAGTCTCGTACACTAGAGCTTCTACTGTTCATTAAGCCTTACAAAGAAGTGTTGCATCAAAGAATGTCCTGTAACTTGACCTGAAGTTAACAGGAATATTTCTTTTGTATAATGTAATTTAATAAAACTATAACTAAGTTACTGAAAAGATCCTGTTACTAAAACATTACATTATATACTAAACAAGACATTTTAAATACTTGACTTTTGCCTTTGTCTCTTTTGTCCCAGATTGAATGGGCCCCTCTGACAAAACAACTGGCCCCAGCCTGGCCCCCTTAATAAAATTGGTCTAGAACCGCCACTGGGCATAACAGTGGAGACAATTAGTCAGACATCACTATCAAGAGGAAACAGGTTTGGTAACTGAAAACACCTTTCAGAACCTCCTACAGTATGAAGGATTATGTTACATTCTTCAAAATAACTTTACACATTAGGATACGTGGCGTGATCACTGTTTTTTAAATGAGCCAACATTTAAAACAAAATGTTTATTACACAGATCTACATGTCGCATTTGTCACATATAGTTAGTTGATGGCAAAAACAAACTACTGACATGACTGCATATGAGAATGACCATATTGTCAAAGGTTCTTGTCCTAACATGGATTAGTGAGTGATTAACCCACAGAGAGAGAAACACAGATTTTAAGAACCAGTCAGCAGTTTGTCCCCCCATTCATAAATATATAAATTATACTACTACTAATAAAAACCTCCTTATAGCTGCATGTGATGTTGGGTTCAGACCGGACATTTTAAAAGCCGTCTGAAGCTCATGTGTCTTTGGCCCCTGTTGGGATCTGAACCTTTAATGTTAAGCTGAAGTATGAGGAGAGACCAATAAGGAAGGACTCCAAAGTCACAATACAGACCAATTTTTATTTTCATGCATTTCTCGGTAATGTAGATGTGTGTGTGGCTTAAGCTCTACAAAAGAGAATTAACATCTAAATTAAATATATTAACAAATATGATGTGAGACAATTAACTTGGATTATATATTAAAGGAATAGTTAAAGATATTAAACATATACTCAAAAATACTCTAATACACTTTCTTTTTCACTTTTTATTCGATTGATACAACTCTCATGATGTCTTTACGGTAAATATGGTCAGTTAGCTTAGCTTAGCACGACTGGAAACAGCAGTGTAAAAACAGCTGTGGAGTTATTATACAAACTGTCCACTTTAGTAAAAGTCATGACCGTTTCTTTGGTACTCTTGTGAATCCAACATTTCATTCACTTCCATAATATTAGAGAAGCAGCAGATGTTTCAGAGGCGGACATCCTAAAATAAAAATATGTATCACTTTCAACAAACCAAGACAGCAGCTCAGATTTAACGTGACACGTTTATTTTCAAGGTTACAATGACACAGTAACAAAATGGCACTTACTTTGTATCCAAATATATAAAAATACATTTGAACATAGAAAATAAATTGGTAATAGCTCTCACAGCTCACATGTAGCCCACATCACATCAAACTACATCCAGAGGAGGGTTCAACTGGGCTTGGTTTGATGGTTTTAATGATCTGGATTCTTTTGGGATCCCAGACACAATCCTCCTCCAAACCGCTCCTCACCATCCCACACCTGGGTGGCACCCAGGCGGTGTCATAGCCATGGGCATGCCAGGTCTTCTGAAGTGGATGATCTTGGTAATCGATCCTTTTCACTTTCCCCACGTTGACCGCTACCTTAATAACCACCCTGTCAGACTCAGGGTGATTAAGGGGATAGCGGCTAGCTTTCTCCAGGTCTCTGCTGAGGTAGACGCCGCGGCCGAGCATCCCGCCTGCAGACTGCCTGAAACCTGTGGCCAGGATGGCCTGAGCAGCCTCGCTGGTGGTGCCGTGGTACATGATGTACTTTCTACCACTAACTGGCTCAGAGAGGCCCAGTCGACTGACCCCATAGGGCAGATCAAAGTCATCTTCAGCCCACTCGTACTGGCTCATGTTGGTGTCAGTATCTCTGTAGGAAAGAGGATTGTTAGTGTAAATTGTAAAGTGAGTTCAGATGAATTCCATGTGAAGAAACTAAACATCACTGCAAATTAAACAATACAGGAATGAGACCAGAAAGTTAAGAAAGTATTCAGCAACACACTACAGTATTTAAGATCCATTTAAAGTTCTGGATGTTCAGTCTAGCTTATCACAAAGACCGGAAGAAGCAGAGGAAACTCGTTAGCTATAGCTCCATCAAAAGTGAATCAAGACGTCATATTGTGGTCAGGCAGAAGTTGAGCCAGGTGAAACGTTTGGACGCATTTCTTTCACACACATGCTCACAATGACATGGCTAATATGCTAATGTTTACCAGGTGTGTAATGTTTACTATGTTCACCATCATAGTTTAGTCACCATAACTTTGATGATCCCCTTAAACTTGTTCTAGTGTAACCAACAGGTCCACTGATCTGTTGAAACGTCTGCCGTTACATTTGATACGCATATTTATTTATTAAACTGTCCGTAGCTGTCAAAGACTTTTTTAAATTATGTTTCCTATAGTTTATGCGAGTGTATGGTTAACTTTTACATATAGCTTTGGTTCTGATAAAATCACAGTTTGGCTGCAGCTTCTTAATGAGATTAAACACAGTTCCAAAGTGTGATCGTTCAGGCAAACACCATGAATCTGCTTTTATCAGTCAGGAAGCTCACAGTTGAGTCAGACTCAATATATTTCACTGACGGTTTAAGAGAATTTTCTTTCAGCCTAACTAAATTCATCTCCTCAAATTGATAATATTTTATGTAAAACAGCAGACGTGTGATCACGTACCTCTCTCCACGTTCTTCCAAGAGTGCAGGCTGTGAGTCTGATCTGCTTTTTATAAGGAGCTTCAGGCTTTGGGAGGAAATTTCATAACAGTGCGTTAAACACAGTTCCAATGTGTGATCGTTTAGGCCTGAAAACACCATAACTCTGCTTTTATCAAACAAGACGCTCACAGTTGAATCATACTCAGTGTATCCCACTGATGGTCTCGTACTAACTAAATTCATCTCCTCATATTGATAATATTTTATGTAAAAATGCAGACTGTGTGTTCACGTACCTTTGTCCAGGTTCTTCCAAGACTGCAGGTGTGAGTTCACTCGCCTCTTTATAAGGACCTCTGGGAGGAATTTTCTTAAAGGTGCGTCCATCATCCTCTTTGGTTTCACTTCTATGACTTTTGTTTACAGTCGGAGAGGCATTTATATATATATATATAGGTGTGGTCAAGACAGCAATGATGTTGGGTTTCAGTCAGCCAGCAGCACAGTGATCAGTGATTTTAGGCTGTTACAGGCAGATGTGGGTATTGCACTTATGGGACTTTTCCTTCCTTATTGGGGCACAAATGTATGTTTTTACAATTTGTCACATGTAAGAAAAAGGACAAAGTAGAATTTTGCGCTTCATGTATTGTGGCAGATGAGCTTCCTAACCGTAACGTTTTCATTATTATGTGGAAACAGGTTTGGCAGCTGCGAAAACCTTTCAGAACCACATTCCTACCAGATTTGCTCAGGTTTTCTTTGTGCTCGTGCATTAGTTTTCATTTCCATGAAATAAAATGGCTTGTAACTGCAGTATATTTAAACCTGGTGTATTTCCTGTAAATGTCCTCATTGTGACCCTGTGGTTTATGCTAACTCACCACCTCTGTTGTAGAGATTTGAAGAAATGAGGATGACAGTTGTAGTTGTTTTCGTCTCTCTGTAGACATTTTGTCTCCCTGGTGGTCGTTTTGTGTCTCTTTGTAGTCGATGTGGGTTTCTTTGTGGTCATTTTGACCCTCTTTGCAGTAATCTTGCTCCAGACCCCTTCGGGCTCCATAAGATGAAGATACAATAAATTACAATACTGGAAGAAATACAAAGTCTAATTTTGTTTTTAAATTGTAATTGTGCAGAACAGCCTATTGAAGAAAAATTAGGGTTTACATTCACTTTCACTTCAATTATTAATAACACTGATTTTATAACAGGTCTCTTATAGAATCAGGTTTCAGACATTTGGACTCAAAGGGTATTTCACCCTTTAGTGACTTCTTTGAGGATGGGGTCCTTATGGCTTTTAATTCTTCTGACCTGACCTGCTGTGGGCTTAGACTGCTGGGGGACTTCCCATGATGCACTGAGCTCCTCTCTCTTCATCTATATGCAACTGTATGTCATTAATTCATGTTACTAACTTGACTTCTTCCCTCGTAGTTTTGCGCTCGCTCGTCCCTCTCCTATCACTTTCTGCAGGTGTTTCTGGCTCTGGAGCTGTGGATTCTGGATCTGTGGTTTTCGAGTGACTTACTGCTACTGCTGCCATGTTCCTGCTCAGAACCCACGGCTACAGTATTATTACTTGTCCTATTATTATTCCATCCATCCATCTTCAACCGCTTATCCTGCGTACAGGGTCGCGGGGGGCTGGAGCCAATCCCAGCTGATATCGGGCAAAAGGCGGGGTACACCCTGGAGAGGTCGCCAGTCCATCGCAGGGCCACACGTAGACAAACAACCACTCACGCTCACACTCACACCTAAGGACAATTTAAGGTCACCAATTAACCTAGTCCTATTATTATTATTATTATTATTAATATAACTCTAATTAGGGGTGGTGACAGGTGGGTGATTGGGTGAAGCTGGCCAGGTGATGGGAATGCGTAATAGGCGGGCATAACAGTGGAGACAATTAATGAGACTATCAAGATGAAACAAGTTTAGCAACTGAAAACACCTTTCAGAACTTTCTACAGTATGAAGGATTATGTTACATACATTTAAATAACTTTACACATTAGGATGTGTGGTGTGGTCATTGTCTTTTTTAAATGAGTCAACATTTAAAACAAAAGGTTTATTACATGGATTTGCATGTCACATTTATCAAACGTGGTTCTTTGCAAAAACATACTAACATAACGTATATAAATAAATATACATGTATATGAGAATAACCATAATAAGAATAATCTTAAAACTTCGTAACACGGATTATTGAGTGATTAACCCACAGACAGAGAAACACAGACTTGTTTCATGAACCAGTCAGCTTTTTGTCCCTGATTAATAAACATATATAAACAATACTGCTACAAATAATAAAATAACCTAATTAGGGTAAACATGTCATGAAGGACTCAAAGGTAACAAAAAACTATGAGGGGCCGTACGAGCCATTATCTATTCTTGACCTCTCACATACATATATTTTCCTTTCACATACATATATTTTAATGTACACATTCACACATTTTGATGTGAGCAAAAACTACAGAGAGGAACAGTTTAAGCCATCGCCTTCCACTGCTACTTGTGGCAGGTGGTTCGGACGCCCAGGCCCACTGTTCAAAGGAACCCACCTTGGACACAGTCTGCCTGACTTAATTTGCATTTTTGTTGTTTAGTTTAATATTTTGAATACAGTTTGTTTGCATGTTGTGATTGCAGCAAAAAATCATGGATACAATTGTGGATACAACAGTCCTGTTGAGCTTCACGAGTGACACACAGGTCATATTGGTTTACCTCATTCAGCAACGGGCTACTCCTTTTATTGCTGTAATAATTCTTTTCATAGATGCTTTAGGAATAATCATATTGTATTGGCTTTTATTTTATTACATAGAGTCATGGCAGGCTGCACAGGCTAATTTCTAAAACAAAAATAAATTAAGATTTACCTGGAGATGATAGAATTAATCGGCATTTGAACTCTTTTGGTGAGGTAATAAATGTAAAAGACGTTATTTACATGTAAAAGTCCTGCACTCTATCTTTTAAGTATAAAAAGTATCATCACAAGAAAATTGACTATGAGCGTATATCATCATCATATATTGGTTAATGCATTTTTATATACTGATGCATTGATGCATCTCATAACCATAGATGGTGAAGACGGAGCTAGTTTTTATATATTTTATATGCTGTTGGGTTGGTTAACAGTGCATTATATTTTATAAGCTCATGTAAAATCTTAATAAAAAAATCTTAAATCTTAAAATCTTAATTTGTAATAAATTAAATCCATTCCCCGGGCCTCAGCCCCTGCCTAAACAGCAGGTCTGCTCCCTGATTCTGCGTCCCCAGGAGATACATCGCCCTGAGCGATAGTAACCTCTGCTGGGACCACAGGAGGATCTGACGCGCCAGTCTGTCCAGAGGGCGCGAGCGCAGACCGCCCTGGTGATTCAGATAGGCCACCACCGCTGTGTTGTTCTCCTCGGAACGAACCAGGACGTGGTGGCCTTGGAGATCGGGCAGGAAACTCCTTAGAGCCTGGAACACCGCCAACATCTCGAGACAGTTGATATGCCACTCGGATCGATGCACCTGCCAGGATCCCCTTGCAAAGCGGCCGTCCATGACCGCGCCCCAGCCCGTGAGGGAGGCGTCTGTCGAAAGAACCAGCCGGCGACAAGACCCTCCCAGCACGGGCCCCTGGGACAGGAACCAAGTTTCCTTCCAAACTGATAGGGAACGAAGACACTTGCGCGTAACCCAAACCAGACGGAGAGGATTCCCCTCGGGGAAAAACCCTTGTTCCTTAGCCACCACTGCAGGGGTCTCATGTGCAGCAGTCCAGATGGTATTACGCTGGACGCAGCCGCCAGGAGACCCAACACTCGTTGAAAGTGTTTCATAGTGATGGCGTGGCCTAACTTCACCCCTTTCACGGCAGCCAATATGGTGTCGACACGTGCCGGAGACAATTGTGCCCGCATCGTTGTCGAATCCCATGCAACCCCTAGGAACGTAGCCCGTAGGGTGGGCGCCAGCACGCTCTTCTTTGCGTTGAGCCTCAGCCCTAAACGCCGCAGATGAGCCAGAACGACATCTCGATGCCGAACCGCCAACTCTCGAGACTGGGCTAGGATGAGCCAGTCGTCGATGAAGTTGAAATCCGGATGCCCCGGAGCCTCAGCGGGGCCAGTGCTGCATCCATACACTTGGTGAATGTGCGAGGGGAAAGTGCCAGGCCGAATGGAAGAACCCGATACTGGTAAGCCACACCCCCGAAGGCAAACCTCAGGAACTTCCTGTGAGAAGGACGGATGGAGACCTGGAAATAGGCGTCCTTTAGATCTATCGTGACGAACCAATCCTCAGATTGGATGTGCGTCACGGTGGCGGGGATGATGAGCATCTTTAACCTGAATCTCCTCAGAGACCGGTTAGAACCCGCAGATCCAAAATAGGGCACGCAGCCCTCCGTCCTTCTTGGGGACTATGAAGTACCGGCTGTAGAACCGGCGTCTCTGTCTGGGGGGAGACACGTTCCACGGCCCCTTTCCTCAGCAGAGTACAAACTTCCTGTCCCAACACCGGACCTTGCTCCGGGCGGACCACAGTCCAAACCACCCCCTCTCTTCTGTTGAATTTGGAGGGCGGGTTCTGAACTGTAGTCGATACCCATCTATGGCAGTGCGCAGGACCCGCGGAGAAATGTTCGTCAGGCTCCGCCAAGCGTCTGCAAAGTCTGCCAACGGAACCAGCCCCTCGGGGCTGGTGGTCGGTGTCTCGTGTGATCTTCTGGTGGACCCCTGAAGCCCCAGAACGGCAGGGGGGAGCCGCCGAAGATCCACGGTGAGTGAGTCGGGATGCCGTCCGCCTGCAGACCTTCGGGGCAGGCAGTACGGCGCGGACTCGATGGTGGCAGGTGCGTCCTGAACGTGTAAACGGCGGGATAACATCACCTGTTGCCACGGCGGAGGGGACCTCGGTCGGCCTCCGGGGGGGTGGGGAGGGTGCGGGAGGGGAGAAAGACTCCCCTACCCCGGTCTTCCCTGAGCTCCGTCGGGACTGGATGACGGTCCTCAGATCGCGTCTCACAGAAGGCTGAGGTTGAGAGCGCCGTCTCGCTGCCCCAGCTCCTCGGGGGGGCCCCCGAGAAGCGACACTCTGCTTCCTCTCCGTAGGAGCTCGTAGAGGGAAGGGACCTACGCCTGGCAGCCTCATCTGCCTTGGGTCCAGACCGGCGAGGGAGGTACTGGCGGAACGCTTCACACTGCGTCTAACGCTTCGTGGTTCTGCGAAGCTCCGCCAGATCTTCCTCGGAGGGACCCCCCTCTGAACCATCTCCTGTAGCAGGTTGGCTTGGTAGACTTGAAGCACCGTGGTGTGCAAGCTTGCATCTGCCTGGCCCGCTGCCATGTACGCCTTCCCCACGAGCGTGGATGTGGTGCAACATGGTTTGGATGGTAACGCCGGCTTCTCCAGGGAGGACGCAAGTCGAGGGGAGAGATAGCTCGCAAGCTCATCCTCCACCTGAGGCATCCTCCCATAACCACGGTCCCTAACCCCATCACATTACTGTAGTTCAGTGATCGGGGTGTGGAAAGCCATGTAGAGAAGGGTCTGCCCCATGATTACTCAGTTCATCATGTACTTTCTTTTCAGGAAAGAATGGCAGAGACCGGCGTGGAGGTGGCGTGTGGTGCTTAAGAAACCTTTCATCAAGCTACCACTAGCCTGTGGTGTCTGCTCCTCTTTTCTCTTTATTTATTTTTTTTTCCGGCCAGTTGAAGTTGAGCTTAGCCACGGCTCTAGTCACCACCTCCAGCAGCACGTCATAGTCGGGCGCGGCCAGATGACGCCGCCCCGACACCCGGAAGTCATCGTCCACTGCGCTGAGCATGTCTGCCTCCTCGGAGTCGGATTGCTGCAGCGTCTCCGGATCCAAACCGCGAGCGGGAGAAGCCGAGAACGGGCTCCCGAACGAGGAAAGGAAGCGTCGGAGCCAGCGGATGAAGGTCGGGAAAAAGCCTCAGCCGTCCCGAAATCCTCCGACAGATCACGCTGTGAACCCATGAGTGAAACCGCTGGGCCGCCTCAGCGGCCGCAGGGCCCGCACCACGGGGAAAACACATCCGGCCATCCTCGGAAAAGAGAGCCATGCTGTACCTCAGTACCCGCACGGAAAGGGCTTCGCAACGGGCGCAGGCAGCCCCCTCGAGAGCTGCCCGGGCGTGCTCCATCCCCAAACATGAGACACACATCTCATGAGAATCTCCATCCGTGATGTACCGAGGGCAAGAAAAAACACACCTTCTGTACATCTGGTTGCCGGACATGCTGGTAGACTTCTTCTTCAGGTAAGACACACTGCTTGTAGGACTGGAGCTTTCTTCAAACAACATACAGAGCGCCTGCTGAATAGAAAAAAGCTAATGATGAGTGTGTACAGGTGTGCTTTATACTCCTCCGGTTATTCCGTCACACCTTACCGTTCTAGCAACAGGCCAATAGGATTGGAGTGATTTCATTCACGTTCAGACCTGCTTCGCCTAGAGGCGTTCCCATAGTGTCGTAACCGACGCAGTTCGAGTTCCCTCGAAGGGGAACTAATCAGAACTCATCAGTTTCTGCCCCAAGCAGGTGGGTGACTGGATGAAGCTGGCCAGGTGAGGTATAACAGTGGAGACAGTTAATCAGACATCACTATCAAGAGGAAACTGGTTTGGTAACTGAAAACACCTTTCAGAACCTCCTACAGTATGAAGGATTATGTTACATTCCTCAAAATAACTTTACACATTAGGATACGTGGCGTGATCACTGTTTTTTAAATGAGCTAACATTTAAAACAAAATGTTTATTACACGGATCTACATGTCGCATTTGTCACATATAGTTAGTTGATGGCAAAAACAAACTACTGACATGACTGCATATGAGAATGACCATATTGTCAAAGGTTCTTGTCCTAACATGGATTAGTGAGTGATTAACCCACAGAGAGAGAAACACAGATTTTAAGAACCAGTCAGCAGTTTGTCCCCCCATTCATAAATATATAAATTATACTACTACTAATAAAAACCTCCTTATAGCTGCATGTGATGTTGGGTTCAGACCGGACATTTTAAAAGCCGTCTGAAGCTCATGTGTCTTTGGCCCCTGTTGGGATCTGAACCTTTAATGTTAAGCTGAAGTATGAGGAGAGACCAATAAGGAAGGACTCCAAAGTCACAATACAGACTAATTTTTATTTTCATGCATTTCTTGGTAATGTAGATGTGTGTGTGGCTTAAGCTCTACAAAGAGAATTAACATCTAAATTAAATAAATATATATATATAAATATATTAACAAATATGATATGAGACAATTAACTTGGATTATATATTAAAGGAATAGTTAAACATATTGGAAAATACACTTATTATTCAATTGATACAACTCTCGTGATGTCTTTTACGATAAATATGATCAGTTAGCTTAGCTTAGCACAACTGGAAACAGCAGTGTAAAAACAGCTGTGGAGTTATTATACAGACTGTCCACTTTAGTAAAAGTCATGACCATTTCTTTGGTAGTCTTGTGAATCCAACATTTCATTCACTTCATTCACACATAATATTAGAGAAGCAGCAGCATGTTTCAGAGGCGGACATCCTAAAATAAAAATATATGTCACTATCAACAAACCAAGACAGCAGCTCAGATTTAACGTGACCCGGCATTTACTTTTTATCCATAAATACAAAAATACATTTGAACATAGAAAATAAATAAAGAGCTCACATGTAGCCCACATCACATCCAACCACATCCAGAGGAGGGTTCAACTGGGCTTGGTTTGATGGTTTTAATGATCTGGATTCTTTGGGGATCCCAGACACAATCCTCCTCCAAACCACTTGGCACCATTCCACGCCTGGGTGGCACCCAGGCGGTGTCATAGCCGAAGTCATGCCAGGTCTTCTGACGTGGATGGCCTTGACGATTGATAGCGATCACCTTCCCCACGTTGACCTCCACCACAACAACCACCCTGTCAGACTCAGGGTGATTAAGGGGATAGCGGCTAGCTTTCCCCAGATCTCTGCTGAGGTAGACGCCGCGGCCGAGCATCCCGTCTGCAGACTGCCTGAAACCTGAGGCTCGGATGGCCTGAGCAGCCTCGCTGGTGGTGCCGTGGTACATGATGTACTTTCTACCACTAACTGGCTCAGAGAGGCCCAGTCGACCGACCCCAGGGGGCAGATCAAAGTCATCTTCAGCCCACTCGTACTGGCTCATGTTGGTGTCAGTATCTCTGTAGGAAAGAGGATTGTTAGTGTAAAGAGTTCAGAAGGATTCCGTGTGAAGAAACTAAACATCACTGCAAATTAAACAATACAGGAATGAGACCAGAAAGTTAAGAAAGTATTCAGCAACACACTACAGTATTTAAGATCCATTTAAAGTTCTGGATGTTCAGTCTAGCTTATCACAAAGACGGAAGAAGCAGAGGAAACTCGTTAGCTATAGCTCCATCAAAAGTGAAACAAGACGTCATATTGTGGTCAGGCAGAAGTTGAGCCAGGTGAAACGTTGGACGCATTGATTTCACACACATGCTCACAATGACATGGCTAATATGCTAATGTTTACCAGGTGTGTAATGTTTACTATGTTCACCATCATAGTTTAGCTTGTTGGTACCATTTGCGTAATAGCATGCAATTACCACCCAACACAAAATACTTTTCCTCCAGCGCCACCATAACATTGACTTTGATGATCCCCTTAAACTTGTTCCAGTGTAACCAACAGGTCCACTGATCTGTTGAAGCGTCTCATCATCTTTTGGATGGTTTGCTGTTACATTTGATACACATATTATTTATTAAACTGTCCGTAGCTGTCAAAGACTTTTTTAAATTATGTTTCCTATAGTTTATGCGAGTGTATGGTTAACTTTTACATTTAGCTTTGGTTCTGATAAGATCACAGTTTGGCTGCAGCTTCTTAATGAGATTAAACACAGTTCCAAAGTGTGATCGTTCAGGCAAACACCATGAATCTGCTTTTATCAGTCAGGAAGCTCACAGTTGAGTCAGACTCAATATATTTCACTGATGGTCTCGTACTAACTAAATTCATCTCCTCATATTGATAATATTTATGTAAAAATGCAGACTGTGTGTTCACGTACCTTTGTCCAGGTTCTTCCAAGACTGCAGGTGTGAGTTCACTCGCCTCTTTATAAGGACCTCTGGGAGGAATTTTCTTAAAGGTGCGTCCATCATCCTCTTTGGTTTCACTTCTATGTATCTTCTCTTCTTTGTTTACAGTCGGAGAGGCATTATATATGTATATAGGTGTGGTCAAGACAGCAATGATGTTGGGTTTCAGTCAGCCAGCAGCACAGTGATCAGTGATTTTAGGCTGTTACAGGCAGATGTGGGTATTGCACTTATGGGACTTTTCCTTCCTTATTGGGGCACAAATGTATGTTTTTACAATTTGTCACATGTAAGAAAAAGGACAAAGTAGAATTTTGCGCTTCATGTATAGTGGCAGATGAGCTTCCTAACCGTAACGTTTGCATTATTATGTGGAAACAGGTTTGGCAGCTGCGAAAACCTTTCAGAACCACATTCCTACCAGATTTGCTCAGGTTTTCTTTGTGCTCGTGCGTTAGTTTTCATTTCCATGAAATAAAACGGCTTGTAACTGCAGTATATTTAAACCTGGTGTATTTCCTGTAAATGTCCTCATTGTGACCCTGTGGTTTATGCTAACTCACCACCTCTGTTGTAGAGATTTGAAGAAATGAGGATGACAGTTGTAGTTGTTTTCGTCTCTCTGTAGACATTTTGTCTCCCTGGTGGTCGTTTTGTGTCTCTTTGTAGTCGATGTGGGTTTCTTTGTGGTCATTTTGACCCTCTTTGCAGTAATCTTGCTCCAGACCCCTTCGGGCTCCATAAGATGAAGATACAATAAATTACAATACTGGAAGAAATACAAAGTCTAATTTTGTTTTTAAATTGTAATTATGCAGAACAGCCTATTGAAGAAAAATTAGGGTTTACATTCACTTTCACTTCAATTATTAATAACACTGATTTTATAACAGGTCTCTTATAGAATCAGGTTTCAGACATTTGGACTCAAAGGGTATTTCACCCTTTAGTGACTTCTTTGAGGATGGGGTCCTTATGGCTTTTAATTCTTCTGACCTGACCTGCTGTGGGCTTAGACTGCTGGGGGACTTCCCATGATGCACTGAGCTCCTCTCTCTTCATCTATATGCAACTGTATGTCATTAATTCATGTTACTAACTTGACTTCTTCCCTCGTAGTTTTGCGCTCGCTCGTCCCTCTCCTATCACTTTCTGCAGGTGTTTCTGGCTCTGGAGCTGTGGATTCTGGATCTGTGGTTTTCGAGTGACTTACTGCTACTGCTGCCATGTTCCTGCTCAGAACCCACGGCTACACTGTTATTACTTGTCCTATTATTCCATCCATCCATCGTCAACCGCTTATCCTGCGTACAGGGTCGCGGGGGGCTGGAGCCAATCCCAGCTGACATCGGGCAAAAGGCGGGGTACACCCTGGACAGGTCGCCAGTCCATCGCAGGGCCACACGTAAACAAACAACCACTCACGCTCACACTCACACCTAAGGACAATTTAGGGTCACCAATTAACCTAGTCCTATTATTATTATTATTATTATTAATATAACTCTAATTAGGGGTGGTGACAGGTGGGTGATGGGAATGCGTAATAGGCGGGCATAACAGTGGAGACAATAAATGAGACTATCAAGATGAAACAAGTTTAGCAACTGAAAACCCCTTTCAGAACCTTCTACAGTATGAAGGATTATGTTACATACATTTAAATAACTCCTAAATACACATTAGGATGTGTGGTGTGGTCATTGTCTTTTTTAAATGAGTCAACATTTAAAACAAAAGGTTTATTACATGGATTTGCATGTCACATTTATCAAACATGGTCGTCTGCAAAAAATACTAACATAACGTATATAATAAATATACATGTATATGAGAATAGCCATAATAAGAATAATCTTAAAACTTCGCAACACGGTATT